GGAGTTTTGGAGGAGGAAATAAATTGATAGACACATACTATTTTTCTGGACAAATGAGAAAAGAAAGGTCCAAGAGAATACACAGTGTGCTCAAGGTCATGTGATTAGATGTTGTCAGAACTGAGATTTAAGTTGGGAGAGAGATATGACTGAGAGGAAAAATTCTCTTCTAGAGTAGGGGGCTACTTAAGAGCAAACATATTTAAACTTAACAAAATATTATTGTTTTGTAATATATTAAACAAAATATTACCACTTGGACATGGTTGTTTTCACTCATTCTGTGAGTTTGCTCCTGCATAAAAGGAAATGCATTCTAAATTACTTAGGAATATACATAACATCATCCACGAAATTTAGAATAGACTGTATTCTATGTGAAGATTAGCAAAAAATATCAAAATCCTTTTTATTTTCTAACGTTAGAAAAAAGTTTTAGCTAAGGGCTAACCTCTCTATAGTTTGGGAAAATAAACAATGTGTAAGGTTCATACTCTGAGGAAAATAATAACCTACCACTTCTCTAGAACTATGTATTTTCTATTTATGGCAATTAATTAATTATTTAAATTTTATATTTGGCAAATTTTAAATAAAATACTACCAGATAGGGTTGGTAGAACACTCTCTCTCTTGGAATATATTTCTGTTAAAAAAAGAAGCATGCATTATAAAAACACAACACATGAAGGAAATACTAAAATATTTTAGTTTTAATAAATAATCTCACCTGGGCATGGAGAGATTGCTAGGGAAGAGAAAACATTCTGTTTTAGTATTTTCATTTTATTTACTCATTTATAAGAAACATTTGTTCAGGGACAATGTTGAATACTGAAGATACAAATATAAAATACTACAAAACCTCTCAGGAGGACCAGTTTGCTCTAATAATTGTGGAGGTTACAGACTAGCTATATTATATCTATGGTACTAAAATATATTATTCCAGTAATTTCCTAGATCAATAAAGATGAATTCTATTGGGGTACTGATATGTTTAAATCTATTTAGATATTATCTTTAACACAAGTAACCTGAACATGAAAACTAGAACAGCAGGGTCCGTATTGAACTCATTGTTGATTTTCATCTTCCTCTACTGATAACAGATTAAAAATGCTGACATGTAGTTTTGCTAAATTGGAACAAAGCATTTCACAAAATCTTCATTAAGTCAAATTTATTTGTAGTAACTGAAAGGTTTTTGTTGTCCTCCCAAAGAAAGACTTTTATGATACTCAAAAGGGTCAAAACCAGTGATAAGCAGATTATGTGAGTTTTGAGAGAAGCAAATCTGATGTTTAGCATTCCTGATTCCTTTCCCAGAGTCTATACTGTTTTCTTAAATGGAAAGTTAATTTGACATATCTGTGATTTCACAGGTAAGAATATTTATAAAATTCTCAACCAGGTCTGAATTTGCAAAAATAAACACACTGCAAATTCTTAAATATAATGTATCTTTGGGGAGGTTAAAAGATTTGCTGTAGAATATAGTCACTTTCTCCCTGGTTAGTATTTATGGATAAGATATACAACTTAAGTGCAGGCATAAAAAGAATGAGCTTTGCCAGCAAATACGCAGGCAACCATATAAGTAATTTGCCCATTATTGGTCAAAGATAGAATAAATAATTTCTTAAGAAAAATAGAAATATACTTAGAAGTGGCCTCAATTTAAAATTTAATGTTTTAATTTTATAGTCATTAATTTTAATTTAATGACTTTGTATTATAATGAATAAAATACTACCAACTGAAGTTGGTTGTATTTGTTCAGTCTACAAAACTGTTCTCATTTAAAAAGAAAAATATTCTCAATTGCTTGGATGTCATTCAGTCCAACCCCATCATTTCCATATAATAAACAAGAATCTTACCATGCTCTTTCCCAAGGTTAGAAAATGAGAAACTATTATGCCTACCTGAGTGCTATTTCTACCACAAATAATTTGGACCTTTTCCATTATTCCCTTTTAAAAACATTTAAAAAGCAACTTCTTGAATTTAAAACACAATTCTGTCTGATATAAATTAGTATCAGCCAATTTTAGTTACAGTATATCAGAATTATTAAGAAAATTAAAACTGTTTTTTCTGTTTTCTTACTGTGAAAATTTAACTTGGTCAAATTAGATTAGAATATTAGATGAAGAGGAAAAATAATTTTTCTAATATTATCCAAAATTTATTGACAGTTTATGATGTGTGATGGATTGTATTAATTGCTTTATATCATCTAATATTTATTATTGTTACCATTTTAGTGTTTATTTATAGATTTATACTGGGAAAGTGAACTGCTTAACATCACATATGTGTAAAAGGTAGAGCTTTGAGTCGAATTCAAGTATAACAAAATCTATAGACTGTCACTTAAATACTATGCAGACTCAAAAGGAAACTATAAAATACAAATATTCAACTGAAAGTGTGAATTAGACATCTAGGATTTTAAAAAGTTGTTAGTTTTATTTTTAGAGGGAAATAAGAAAACATCTAGATTCCATCACACTACTTACAATAAAATTTATTAGATATTGAAAAAGATACAGAATTTCAATACAACATTTTCACTCTTTCTGTGGTATATTTGCCTTTGATAAATCTTTAATGCAATTTTACCAGATAACATATTTTTCCTTGGTTTAGCATGTCTTCACTTGGAGGATGTGTGTGTGTGTGTGTGTATGTGTGTGTGTGTGTGTGTGTGCGTGCGCGTGAAACTGTGTTTTAGTTTATCCCAGAAAATATTAATATATTTTAAACTTAGTAAATATATCTTACCTCAGGCTTACTGAGAGAAGTTTCCTTTAAAAGATAAAAATATGCATAGTTTTAATTTTATGACATTAATTTACATTTAAAGTTAAAATATGATTCAACCAAACTATTACTACATAACTACAGGAAATTGATATTAGTGGTAAATTCCCAAATAACTGAGACAAGTTGAATAATTTGAAGCATATATTATAGTCACATTGCTTTTCCTTTTCTCAGTGCTTTAACTAGTGCATTGTTCCGAATGTTGTGGGTGGATGCAAAGTAATGATTTTTATTCAATTAACAGAAAACCCACTTAAGCAAGTTGGTTTTATTTTGGTAACTTGACTGAAGGTCTTCTCCTAAAGTCAAAAGAAAAACTACACCACATTTTATGTATGCCAACTTTTTTTCTCCAGATTAACACAGGGTAAAAGGTGGAGAGTAGTTGGAAGAGTCCAGTGTCCGATTAACCTAAAATTGGTTGCATTATAAACAGTTTATGAAATGTTTACTTCCTTGTTTCGGAAGCATGGTAATGGTTAGAATTTTTAACGATAAAACTGAGTTTTAACAAAATCTGTGGACAGAGTAATTGGTTAAAAAAAAAAAAAATTGAACATCACAGATGGCCAGATAAGATCGTTTGCCCAGAAATAATTTTGTAAATTTGTCTCTGACAGACAATTGCTTTCTTATTTCTTTTGGATAGCAAACCACATACTAAAACTAGAATAGTGCCACATGTACACTGCCCTGTACAATCAGACCTAATGGAATATGTAATCCTCACAGTACAAGTTTACATAATTTTTTAAATTAATTGAGCCATCGAATTAATATCAAAATTATTTACCTCACTTGACAAACTGGTGCTAGATTTCAACTGCTGAAAGAATGAAAACTACTGTTAATCATCCCCTGGGATTTTTCGAATTTGAAGGAAACGAATTCCATACCATCATGGTGAAATGCTTACCATGGTAACATTGGAATTAAATAAGTGTTATGGAAAAATTCAGGCCTACTACATTATATTTTTTGGAGTGTCATTTTTACTGGAAAAATTACAGCGGTAGGTTTATTAACTTATCTGGGAAAATAAAAACTTATAAACAATAGTTTTTAATTCAGGAAAACAAACACAGGTTTATCATTGAGTAGAATGCAAAATTTACACTGATTTTTGTGACAAAAATGAAACTTCTAATGAAAAACCGTATTTAACTGGGTACCCAGAATTGGAGCTTCTTTGATGTGAACAAAATGGAAACATTAAATATAATACATATTCTTAAGATGAAACTAAAATTACATTAACTTTTAAGATATTTACTTTGAAATATTTATTTTTTCTTTAGAATCCTTTGTTTATATTTGTATATCTATATAATTTTACTTCCCAAGTACATACATATTTTCAAAGATTAATTTTAATATTCAACAGACTTTATCTCTAGGAAGGGTTAACCATATGTAACAAGTCAGCATTTTAAAAAATAGATTCGTAGAGCAGGTAGTGTGGCTCATTTATCCCAGGTAATTGCTGGAACAGATTATTTCTGCCCAAGGAGAGGGAGAGGGGCATGGGTTGACAAACTATTAGGTTGGTGCAAAAGTTAATTGCAGTTTTTGCCATTACTTTTTAAAAATTGCAATTACTTTTGCACCAACCTAAGAGTTTTGCCATTATTATTATTATTATTATTATTATT